AATTTAAGTTATTTAAAAAATAGTTTAAAGTACTGAAAATAATTAAGGCTATTATTAATTATGCATATTTAGTCTAAAGAGAAAAAATTGTATTATCTTCTGGTTTTCAGGACATAATAAAATATTTAAACTTTAGATAAATACAAGCAATACAAATTTTTAAAAAAGAAAAATATATTAATTATTATGCGACAAAAACCTCATATGCAAAGACGTAATAAAGACGTTTTTGTAACGGTTGCAAAACAGTGGGTGTTCGCGGACATCTGGGCGTCTTAAAGACGACATATTGCAACGTTTTTGCAATGACATCCGCGACGAGTTTTCAACGTCGTTACGACGTTGCTGTCTATAGTAGCTATTGCTTACAATAGCTACTTGGGTAAGCTATTATAAAGTAATGTAAATAATTTTACGTGGAAAAAAATATCACAGTCCATGCAGAAACTGTAATTAATCCAGTAACTTTGGGTGCTTACATAATTGCCCGTAGACCTCGAAAGTTAGCAGAGATCTCTCCAAACTAACACCAACTGTTTTGGCGGAAGTTTGAAGGAACAGATTGTTGTTTATTTGGTTAGATAATCAACAGATGAGTTACAGGTACAGCAAATAAAAAACTTAATTAATACGAACTCATACTTTCAGATTATCTGACAAACAAATTCATTAATATTAGCCTTAATCATTTCGGCGGTCAAAATTCTTAATGGCATTTAAAATAGTAGCAAAATTATCACTGTATTGGTAAACTCGACGAATACATAAATTCACTTAAATATGAATTTCTATGGTGTTGTGCAATTTCGCGGTATACCTTTTTGAACCATTTTGCAAACCCCACAGTCTTTCAATTCTTAGCGTATGTGTGCCGTATAAGCTTCTATTTATCTCTGGTAAAAGCAGTCCCATGTTCTTGAAAATACTTCACTGCTAGCTGTTTTGTAGAAGGCTAGTCCGAAATATTTATCATTTTTTCAAAATCGAAAGACAGAAAATAGCTTTTAGCTAGTTCTCTTTCTTTTTCATATCTTATATATCCTGCATTCCCTTCTTTTTAAAGACTGAGGTTTCTAGCTTATTGAGGGTCAGATTTAGAATAAATAAAAGCGAAAATATTATCGTGTTGCAACGTCACGCTTATCCTTTCTTGGCGGTAAATCGCACTGTTTGGCGACAGTTTTTATTTGCTGAATATTATCGACGGAAAACACCGTAAGTACCTAATTTTATAACCGTGGTTATTCTGTACGATTCTGTAGTCAAATTACTGGAACCGCAAGTACAGCCAGATGATCTACCTTACTTTTTGACTACAGTGAACACCAAGTCAAAATTTTAAAACAAAACTTGATTGTTAATACTTCAACCTGGTAATTATTGAAAACTGATACGGTAACAGAAATGAAGTCCACAGCTTGATGGAAACGTAGAATGACCTTTCTTGTCAAATCAAAATCTAAAATACAAGTTAACACGTTCATCGATGGATGACTGGTATGTTTCTGTGGGAGTCCCAGCCTCTCAAATATAAGTGACGATCTTCTGATTCAAGTTAAATAGGACTTTCTTTTGGATTTTAAAAAGAAATTTAATGGAATAAGCACTGAAATATAAATATAATATATACAGCATAAAAATGTTATAAATATACACATTATACTATCCTTTTTTATTAATTTATATTTAAGATAAAATGTTACCGTATCCTATACATTTTATTAATTTATACTTAAGATATAATATTACATTATACTATATTGCTTGGTATTCGTTAAAACAATTTAAACACATTTGAGGTGATTTTGGGCAATTTGGGCAATTGGAACAATCAGTCGCAATTTTTTTTTTTTTTTTAAATTTTTTTTAAAAACATTTTTCCTTATTGGAGTTCGACAGTTTGCCTCTTCTGGAAACACATGGCCTTACATAGTCTCCTTCTTATAGACCTGTCCTGCTGATTATTACAAATCTCTTAAATGATGAGACACTTTCTTCACTTTTCTATCTATTATTGTGGGCACAGTACTTCCGAGGACAATTATTCGGTAACGAGAAGTGCCCGAAATTGTATCTCTATTTTTATATGTAGCTCTCTGGCCCACAATATGAGCATTTACTATAGTTTTTCCTCAGAGAAAATGTAGTGCTAATTTCTGATACTACTCAATGCTTTTCGGTATTGTTGTGGCATATGAGATCATCTGTTCGCTCTTGTCGATGCCAGTTTCCCCATTATTGCTAAGGATTTCTGTTGCGAAGGACGACCGCAATAAGTAGAATCCGAGCTTGAAGTCATAATGGTTGCATGTTTTGTTGATAATATATCACAAACATCTCTCCATTTAACACCACAATACAGTTGTGATCTTCTCGTGCTATCATTTCACCTCTCTGCAGTAGGTACGACATTACAAAAATTTGGAATAAATTTTTTGTTGCACCGTACGTTTCCAACAAAATAACAAAATGTGTGTTAAAATTTAAAAATCTGACTGCTAATTCACAGCTCGTGTAAAAGTTGTCGGCAAATAAAGTTCGTCCTCATTTAGCAATTTATATGCAAGTTCAATGCAGACGTTTTCAGCTATGCAAACTTGCTTTCTTCCACTGGTATCTCGACCAGAATATATTTTCGCAGACCATGTGTACACTTTTAGGGAGAACATTTTGAATATTTTTACCATACTTATGCGATTTTGTTAGTATTCCTTGACTGAATATAAATCCTATTTTCCAAAGAACCAACAGTCGGATTTGATCCCATGCTTCAGAATCGCACTAGGCGACGAACATGTTGACATGCACCTAAATAAGCTTAGGCTCGGGTTCTAAGTATTAGCGAAACAAAGCAACTGCGATTCGCTGAAGTTAAAATTGATAAATCTATCCAAGCAGTAATGAGGCGAAGACTGACAAATCTCTTTCTCAAACTTAAGAACACAATTACTTTCTAAAGGCTTGGAGTCATGCAACTATTTTTCTGATTTCCAAGACTGGAAAATCACATGAAAATCCTGCTAATTACAGGCCGATGAGCCTGTTGTCATCACTCAGCAAGATTCTAGAACGTTTGATTTAAATCCTTTCAAGAATGACCTCCAGTACCTCGCTGATCGTTAGCACGGATTTAGAAAGGGACTTTCTACATGTACGCAGCTCGTTCGCCTTACTAAGTTCATCGGCTCAGCTCGCCATAACAAGATGTATGTTGCAATTCTAATGCTGGACGTGACCAAGGCTTTTGGCCGCGTCTGGCATCCAGGTCTCATATATAATCTGATCAAGTTGGGACTGCCTCGTAGCCTGGTTCTGCTGATTAAATCTTTCTTGGAAAGTCGAACCTTCGATATTAAACATGGAAATGAAATCTCCAGCGTTAAAAGCATACATTCGGGCGTTCCGCAAGGTTCTATCTTGACACCGATATTTTACATTTTGTATGTCAACGATTTCCTCAGTTTCAGAGACGACCACAACACGCTCATGGCTTGTACTGAGATGATACGGCAGTTGCTATTAAATCCAAATCGCTGAATCACGCGCTCGTCAAAATATCCCCGCCGTTGAGAAATGGTGTTGTAAATGGAAAATCAGTATTCAAACTGACAAATCAAAAATTCTGCTGGTTAGGAAATACCGCAAAATGACAGCTATGATGAAAGATGTAAGACTCTTCGGTACCCTGGTTTCCAGAGTGTACAGCGCCAGTTATCTGGGGGTTTCTTTTAATAGGTCATTCACCTGTTCCACTCACACAGCCAAAGCCTGTGGAAAAGCATATTGAATAACTTTTCCCACTGCTTAAAAATGATCAGCTATCTATCAATTTGAATAGAATAATCTATATCACATATTAGGTCTATTATTACGTATATGTATCTCACCTGGACTACTGCCAGCGAGAAAGACTACAAGAAACTCCAGGTGTTGCAAAATAAATCTCTTAGAATTATCACAGGTTCCCCATATTTTATAAGAAACAGAAGCTTGCACTCGGATTTAAAAACAGATTCAATCAAAGATTTCACCACATGGGTTAATGGACGATTTTACGAGCGAACTTTAAGAAATAAACCAGCAAATTTCGTAAAAAATCTTGGAGTACAACATTCTAGAGGAAGATAGATTTTTAGACCCTAAGCTGCTCATTTGCTGCGTATTGCATTAAACAATCAGGATGACTAATGAGAAAGCTTAATTCCATAGTACTTTTACTACATAGTTTGATATTGTGTCTTTGCAAATGTATGAATTCTGGGAGAACACCAGCATCGAGACCGACCAGTCTCCAGACCTACCCGGTCCTCAATTTTTAGAAGCAAAGTGATTAGAGATTGAAGCGCTCTGCTTCTAAAAATTGAGGAAGGTGGCCGCCTATTAGGTGCTTCCGGAATAAAATGGACAAAACTTTTATCCTAGCAGTGGTCAGTGCTAAATTTGCAAATGTCTCCCAATGGATGAGAAAAATACTCTCCTTAATTTTATCACTTATTTGTGGATTCGCCTTTTTAAATTTCAGAAAAAATTCCTATCATGAATACCTCTTAAAATCATCATTATTTTCAATGGAACTTACTATCACTGATAGTCATGCACTATATATTGACAGTCTTGAACTTAAAGCAAACCACCTCCTATATAGACCAGATTTATCTAAAACCGCGAGTAATCGTTTTAAAGCTTTTCATTGTATCGAAACGCGAAGCTGCTTTCAGTTGTTCGTCCTCATTTTCAAAGTAGTCAGGTTCATATGGAATTCTAATGAGTTTCATCATCAATAGACAAAGTCCTCCTATTTTCTTCTTCCAGCTAGGCATTATTCGTTTCTGTCATATATATTAACAGATATAATTTCCTATAGTTGTTACATTTGCTGTTTCTGATAAATTTCTGTTTATGAACAGAAATTTCTGTTACATTTCTGTTTCTGAACATCTGTTGATTTGATCTTTCATGTTTCGTAATACTAAAATAACTTGTTTCTGAAAACATATTAGTGCGCAGAAACGAAAAGTAATGAAAGTATGATGGTATTCTTCAGTAGTGGGACGACTGGATTACCGAAAATGATCGAACACTCCCATAGAAGCTATGGAATAGCTCTGGCAGCAACAGGAAGGTACGTATAATAATAGCACATACAGTGCATTTCAGTAACAGTAAATACATGTTAATGGTACAATGTGTAATAAATACGTCTAAGATGCTATACTGACTAGCATTTCTTTCAATTATAAACATTTATCAGTATCTTACATGTTCTTCTGATAACTTCAGCTGCATTCTTCCCCCTTACTGAGAAACATACTTTCTTCTGGGTTCTCCTTTTCTTTAATGCGATTCCAATTTTCCGCTGGAACAGCAGCCTGAATCTCTGACACTCTATGTGCTAGAAACGGTTGCCATCGGTTAGGTTCAGACATTAGCCATGACAATTCAATACTTGGATCATTCCATGCATGTACAGAATTAATTTCCATTTTTAATTCAATTGTAACTGCTTCCATTAAATGAAATAAAAAAAAACAGCAGCACAGAGCTCCAATCGTAGAATCCAAATTAGTTTAATGGGTGGAACTCGTGTTTTGCTATCACTAGATTTATATTGAATGATTAGATAACCTAACATATGCAACTGCACCATAACTTTTCTTCGACGCATCACAGAAACCCTGCAGTTGAATTTTCAACGATTCAGGTGCCAGAACATTTCTTGGAATGCGAAATAAATTTGAATGTTGAATTTTTTTACACATAGTCCTCCACTTTGTCTCATTCTCTTCAGGGACTGGATCATCCCAGGCATTAAATTTCCAAAGTTCTTGAAGAAGAATTTTCGTGATATATATGACAAAAGGTGAAATCCAACCCAAAGGATCGAACAATTTTGCTGTTGAGGATAATATAATTCGTTTTGTTTGAATTTCTTGACAATTCAACATAATTATAGAAAAATTCATCTTATTAGGATTCCATTGCAGGCCAAGAACTTTTATATCCTTATTTTCCACAATCGTGAGACGTTTATCCTTAGATGAACACTTTATGTGTGCGTTTTATAGTACTAACATTTCGTTGGTAGATCACTTCTAAAGCTCAAACCCACCTTTTCTAAACATTTGTCTCATTTTAGCTACTAGCTTAGAAGCCTCTTGAACATTAACAGCACTTGTATACGCATTATCCACATAAAACTCATAGCACTATGTTAGCGATTTTAGGGAAATTCTCACGTTCATCGATTGCTAATGCCTTCAGTGCTCTTGTCGCCAAGGGTGGCGCAGAAGCAGTTTCATACGTCACAGTGTTCAGCCGAAAAACTTATTTTTATTGATTTTTGACATTCCTTTTTGCCAGTTTAGTACGTTTTGTGAACCTAGCATTATGACGATCACCATCATCAAAATTTTCAGTTACGTTCTGCCTTGTTTTTACGTAATGTAAAAATCTTTATTGAGACCGTTAAATAAGCGTAAGGGGTTACCTACATGTTCGATATGAAATAATTCACCCTTACCTATCATTATTTGCTGCCTTTTAGGGTCCTTCTGTAATGTAGACAGCATGTGATCTGTAAGGTATTTTTATCGGCGGTAGATCTGGTTGATCAAATTGGAGCTTTACTAATTTGCAAGCATATTAGCATAGGCCTCGTGTGAAATAGTTTTACGATTCGAGTTATCTGTATCCAGAGAAATATCCGTATCATAGCAGTCAACTGATTATTCAGTTACCGGCGTATTCTAATCAAGTTATCCGGTGGTGAAGCATCGCCTGCTTTCATGGTGGGATCGTTCAAGTTAATCATAACAGGAGCGAACAGAACGAGTTCTTATTTCACTACGAATGAAGTAACACTTCTGACTACATACACTACAACCTATAGCAGTGTGGTCTCTATAGTGGGATACGCGTATCCCAGGAGGTACGTGAAGTGATCCTTGCGGGTACGCCTAAGAAGAAAGCTCACGATCACTTGCGAGTGTATGATCGTTTATCACATGAGCGCGAGGTTCTCTCCTTGGTCTCAATGTCTGGTGACACTAGCGTCTGGGATCAACATCATAACGCACACACAGGCTTTATTATATTTATTACATATTATATAAGGTACTATTTATAATTATTTTCGTCTTAGCGGTACGTGATCAAAAAATTTTGAGACCGCTGCATTACAGTATGAAAAATTTAAAGGTGCCTAGTTAACATGCGCCGTTCTTAAATGTGCTCCTTTGAGATAGTGGCATCACATGCTCCTTTGCTAGTCAGTTTCATAAACCAGTTAGAATTAACTGCTTTTCTAACTTGGTATATGTTGATGGAGGGCCACCTCTGCTCTTAATACGACTTCTTTCTTCACCAATGCAGCATCATATTGCTAGATGCTTTTCAATCTTTGCCTGGCAACTTGTAAATCAATCGTACAGATTTTCGGAATTTTATTGCACTTTTAAAGTTTCAATTTGAACCACCTGCGTTCTATTATTACTGAATAAGGAGTAGTAAAGTTTAGGATTGTAACACATGTATGATGGAACTTTATTAAGTTCATAAATATTAATTAGTGACATTTCCAAAAAGAAAATAAAAATTTCTAAAGGAGAAACATAACGGTAACTCAAAATTCTGATAACCACATTTTTAATTATTGAATACGAAAATGCTCAAAAATGTCATGTGAACATAGAATAAGTCAAAGAGTAAGCGAGAAATTTTCGTTCCACGTTTTAATGCATACAACAAACAATGTATTAACTCTGTATATATTGTTTAACTTTAAATATGTATAAATAAATATTGTGTCTTTTCTATAGATACTGGCTAGATCTAACGAGAGAAAACATTCTTTGGAACATGAGTGACACCGGATGGGCAAAAACAGCTTATAGTAACATTTTTGCGCCGTGGTCTTGTGGTGCTTGTGTCTTTGTACATCAGATGAGTCGGTATTCTCCAGACACGGCGTTGAAAGTAAGTAGGATTGATTCAAATGAACTTATTGTCCATATTGTCGTTTATAAATTATAACTTGGATAAAAATTACTTTTAACTATTTATAAAAGTTAATGTGCCCACAATTGCATCATATTTTCACACTCCTAAATTTTCTCCAAAATCTCCCTTTCCTCCCCCAATATGTATTAAGAAAGAATACTGCGAAAAATTACAATCGTTTTTCGTCAACACATGGTGATTGATTAGGAAACTGATGATACAAATGAAACTACTCAACTTAGTTACGAAAGCTAATGTATTAAAATTATTAGAGATATTTAATTACTTAGTTGAAAAAAATGTTGACAAAATAAACACAAAAAAAAAAAAAAAAAAAAAAAAAAAAGGGAACCACTTTTAATTTTCACAGTACATTGTTAATAATAAGTGAATTTGTTTAAAAGACTTAAAAATCATGTAACATATACACCGTACTGCAACCATTTAAAATGTTTTTGCTTCTTTGCAGATTTTGTCACAGTTCCCTATCGACACTTTATGCGCTCCTCCTCTGGCGTACAGGACAATGGTGCAGGAAAATATAACTTCACATCATTTTCCCAAATTAACGCATTGCGTTAGTGCAGGTGAAGCACTGGTAACGTTACTTCATCTTATACATACATACTAGATATACTATGTTATCTTTGAGAAATTCACTAAGAAAGAAAAATGGTTTTATATACGAATGTATTATATTTTATTAATACAATTTAGTGTCAAAAATAATTATGAAATAAATATTAGATCAGAAGGCGGAGCCGAGACGCTATTGATATAATTACTTAATTTACGATGAATGTTTCCAATTATCAGAATGGCTTTCTCTTGAAAAGTAGAATCAACTAGAAACTTCACGATAATAATTTATATGTTATTATTACTACATTTTATGAACTCTTATATGTTATTATTACTATATTTGGGAATTATAATCTATACGACAATACTATATTCTGTAGACTTGAATGTCGTCACATTTTTTATATCGCTCAGTACATTTGAGAGCAAAACTGTTGCTACGCGCATTATTTACTGTATCAAGATAATTTAAAGTTCAGCAGAATTAAAAACAAGTATGCTCGTAACATATAAAATTAAGAAGACTTACAACTCTAAAAACAGTCTGAGTTATAAGGTAAATGATCTTTTGAAAACCAACATAAATTAATGCAAACACTATACGTAAGAAATTCATCGCAAACAAGTTTTACTTGTGTAAAACTACATTTGAATAAAATAAAAATTAAATGCAATTTTTATTTCTGCGTTGTACTACCTGTTAATTTTGAGAGTAGCTTTCCATTTTGTTTTGTGTAACGAATCATCAAGATGCTCTTTCAGTAAGTCGTGTAGCGTTTATTTTTTGAATATTATAATTTTAGATTGGCCCTATAGTAGAGTGACGCGAAACGTTTTAAAAACATAATCTAAAATCATAAATAGAAATAGAGCAAAGACATGCCTAGCCATAGAAGAAATTAGCAATTAAGGCTAGACATACGGAAGCGGTCATTTTAACCGCAAGCCAGAATTAAATTGTTCGTACTTTTTTATTTTCTTTTCAAATACTTTGCTATTTTTAAATATAATACCAGGATAAAAAAAAATTATTTGGTCTGCTTTAAATGATTCTTTTTACCTAGAATAATGGCTAGCGATCATTTTGACTATTTACTTTCACTGTTTAGTAAAAGGCTAACTTCGGCTTAGTGGCTTAGTGTATTCTTGTCTTGATGTCATTTGTTTGGATTTTTTTTTTTTTTTTTTTTTTTTTTTTTGTTTTTTTTTTTTTTTGTTTTTATGTCACATGTTATTCGACTGGTGGTTGTACCATAAATAAAGCTTTCCGTTTCCAAAGTTGTATCTTCCAAACTGGTTTCATGTTTCTTGTCTGTCTTAGTAAGTTCTTCGCCTTGTTTTGTGTCACACTTTTCTTTCGCTTGCAATTATTCGAGACTTCTGACAGCTTTCTTACTGGTAAATTTTTTTTATGAATCATGTATCGTAGAACCCTTCGAAGAAAAATATCTATAAGAAGTAGACTTACGTGCTTTTACCGGACGAGAACCAGTAAATGTTTTACAAGAATTATACGATGACAATTCTAGTTCAGGAATCTGTTCCTATGAATAATTTAACATTGGAATTTATTCTGTTTCATGCATAATGTTTTTATTATTCCAGCTACAACAAGTGAATTCGATTCATCAAATAACGGTTCTGTCATTCGTTCAAAAAGAAACTGACATAATATTTCCTCATCTGGATCCTGAGGAAAAACAAGCATTCCTTCATCATTCCATATTGCATGGATTGCAAAAATAAAATTATAGCAAAAGGAAATTGGTCGGATTAAAACTCCCATCTTATACCCTATTTGTTGTCGGAACAAGACGTCGAAAGAAACATTTCTCGGAACTGCGTACCACGAAACCGGGTTACCATCTTCACTTAGTAAACAGACTTGAAAGCCAAACAGGCATCAGTTATCGCTCAGACTGGCGAAAGAGACGTTTGCCTTCAAATTCTGTGTATATACAAAACATATTTTGTAATTATTTTAATTTTAATACTGTTAGTTCAATACCTTGCGAAAATGACATGTGCTTAATACATTAATTGTTACTTTTAAACCATATATTTTTTCTCCGATTCTTGTAATGATCTCTCGTATAGATTTTTGTAAATTATATTTCGCCCCTTTTGCAAATTCTCTAACGCTTTTTTCTAAAAAGACTTTCCTGTCGCCAACTCTTTTTCTCTTTGAAAGGAGGGCGGAGGAATATGTAAGATATAAAATATGACACAAAATCATAATTTGAATTAAAAATATTCCAATAATTCTTTATTTTAATTTGTAATATTTCTATTCTAAAAGAAAATATCGTTTTTATTAATTTTTCTAGGATGCGTCTTCCCAAGTTAATCTACATCATACCATACTATGTAAGCGTAGCTTTGCGGATATTTTTACACCAATCAGATTAAAAAACATTTTAACTATTTTCGTGAATGCGTATTTACATTCTTCTCTTTGTCGCTTTGCCTCTGGTCTTGCGAAGATGTGCTGTTCATCTCTTAGCTGGCCATCAGCTAAAGATATAATAAGCTATATAAAACTGTGAGATGTATAGCGCACCCATTATGATGATGTGCAAATATAAAAATGTGTCCTAAGAATTAGTTACCGAGAAATAAAATTACGTGTTTAATTTACAGTCAAGTCTTTCTTTAAGAGTCATGCTTTTATCTATTCAGTAAAACCTCCCCAAGTTATTAACCCAAAACACTGTAATACATTCCAATACATTACAGCTATTTCTAAATGATCCCATTATAAATATATGTTTGTATATACAATATATTTACGCAGTTTTTTATAAATATTGCATCATGTATCTTCGATATAAAATAGAAGAGTTTTAAAAAAATTATAAAAGAATATAAAAACAAACAGAAATAGCGTTTCCTAAATAGAAGAAAAAGTCTTGTGACAGCTAATTTAGCTCTGTAGTGGAAGAGTTTGCAGTGGGGCCGGATGATTGTGCAGAAAATGCTGTTTTCTAGTAAAACTCTTACACCTCTCGATGCTGAAGGCTGAGGATAGTCGAGGTGATCTGATTTGTCATCTTGACGTTGTTGGTAGTCGCATAACTTAAATACGCCTAGAGTAGATAATGTTCTCACATGCTTTTTCGCATCGTAGATGACCTTTTATTCTAAACCGAATGCCAGGTCGTGACCCGGCACTGGTTCACCTCGGGTCGCAAATAAACTTAACGAAATTATTAACCTTAGATATTCCAGTAACATGAAACTGTATTACAGTTTATCAACATACGACGTCGGGATTTAGTAATTAAATTAATGTCTTCATAGATGACACATGATATTGAAAACTATTAATTTATCTCTTATGTTCCTTCCTATTTTAATGCCATCTGTGGCGTACCAAAGCTTAATTAGATTTGATTTTCAAATTCGCAAATTTCTTATGTGTTTCTAATACATTTTAGAGGTAAATAACGAGCAAAACTGACAGTAATAAACAAGTGATTTAACTACACGAATATTATTTGGACACAAGAAATACAGACAAGGAAAAAGAGGAATTGTTAAAGGAGCCTATATTTATAATTAGCAGCTATCAGTTCCAATGTTCCAGCTTTTGCTCACTTAACGTAACTGAGAATTTATATGTCGCGTATCATGTAAGTCGAACGATTACTGTAATGAGATAACTGGTTTAATTAACATAGAACCTAATACGTTAACTAAAACTAATTTTATGCATTTATCTATTAAAATTAAAGTATTGATGAAATTATTATTAATGAAAATATTATAAAAATATAACCCAGACGTTTTTGCAGAATCCTGAAATCATCCGACTGTGGGAACGAGCCACTAATTTGAAGATATACGAGGGTTATGGGCAAACAGAAACAGTAAGTGCACACTGATTGTTTTTTTTTTTTTTAATATTATTTGCTTATAATATGCAGATCCAAACATACCTTGTTAATTTCTAGTCATTACTAATTTCTAACGACGTTTTCAAACTGTGAATTTTAAGCACAGGCAAGTGGAATTTCATATTCATTTAATGACCTTGTAGAGATTTATATTTATTTTAATTAATAGTTTAAAGTTTTATTTGAAACTTTCCTATAAGCCTTCATTCCCCTAATTGTCAGTGCCAGAATAGTTAACTGTTGTAGCGCGCGTGAACGAAAGCAAATTTTCTATTTTGAAGGAAGTAGTTAAAAGCCGATTTTCGGTAGGGGAAAGAGAGAAAGAGGCTTTAGCTGCCGTCTCTGCCGCAGGTACGTTTGCTTATTGCTGGTTCAAATGGCTTAATTGCATTGCTTTGCTGCCACTAGCTTAGAAGGGAGTTTAAGTTACGGGATCTCGCCGAGCCCTGTAGGCTAGTTTTATCACTTTTTAATATTTCAAATTTATTTTTAATTATCTGACTGTCAATTACCGCCCAAGTAGAGGCGAAGTTTGTTAGCGTCGATTTGACGTATTGTAAATTTTAAGAATTGATAAAAGGTACTTTAACCCTTCTCCTCTGTAGTTTCCTGCTACTTCAGTATACAGACATAAGTTCATTCAAAAAGACTCTACAACCTTGCAGATATAATCTTTTCAAATTAAATCACGCACATGAAAAGCTATAGTCGACTTAGATAAAGATACTGGCACCTTTATGACATGGTACTTTTATTACTTGGTACCCTTAGATACAGCGGAAGTCACTTCTTCAGTTGAGTGGCCGGTTAAACCGAAGGCCATTGAGCCAAGGCCTGTTAAGAAGGAGTTAAGAAAAAGGTTAGGTTAAATCAAATGGTTATTTTCTAAGAACTGTAAGGATTATGCTTATTATATTCATTAAATATTTAGAATTTAAAGTCTGTGTCAAATGAAATTGTATTAAAATTAATCTGAATTCATATATGTTAATATAAAGGGAAAAGCTAATTTATTCCTTTAAAGTAAATTTAGAACACATCAAGTTATTGATCAGAAAAATTTTATTTTATATATCATATGTTTGCGAGTTTTATTATAAGAGTATCTAATAAAATATACATGATATTAAATTTTAATAATATGATTACTGTTACATACGCCCATGGTTTGTTAACGCCATGGAAGTTAACCTTGTTTTATATAGTATTTGTTCAATATTTTCAGAGAAAATAACATTTACTGAAAAGTTTCAGTGATGTTTCTATTTCTAGGATGAGTAATAGTATAAGAGAGTATCAATGAATTCTCACTTGAAGTATATCTACTAAGTTTTCTCCTATCTCATTATTGTAAAAGTATATTTTACACCAATTCAACTTCTAAGAAGAAACTTCTCACACACGAATCTGATGTTTGAATCTATATATGATATAGGGCTAAGTAATCTGTATTTTACACATTTTAAATAATATATTTAAAACTTTTTGCTTTCTAAACGGACTTCTGGGCCCATACAATATGAATTTCATTTATATATTTGCAGATTTTATTAATTGGGATGTTTAAATGCTTGGATTATAAACCAGGATCAATAGGCAAACCAGTACCCGGCATAGATGTTGTGGTAAGAAATAATATTCTTTCTTTTTTAACTCAATAATACACTCAGACAAAAAAAAAAAAAAAAAAAAAAAAAAAACTCAAAAGATGATATAAAGCAAATTGAACACAAATTGATATGCATACAGGTTTCGACGGAAAATACAAAATTTTATATTTTGGCTGCCAATGAATGAACGGTTGTCGCAACAGCACTTCTGATCTGCGCAACTGGCAGGATATTTAAGAGAAGAAATTATGATTCCAGGTCATAAATTCTTCACGAATTTCATTCCGTATACTCTGGTAGACAATAACTATGCCTCGCATACAGGCGCGAACGATATGCGCAGATGTCAGATTTTGAGATAGGTCGTGTAGTGGGCCCAAAGAAGCCGGTTGGTCTTATCGGCGAATAGCTCGACATTTGAGAAGGAGCGAGCCACTATTAGATGATGTTGGCAGGAATAGGTGAACCACGGCCGCACACAGCGTCAAGAAGGAAGCGGTAGGCCTAGAGAAACGACAGAACGTGAAGACCGAGCAATCGTCAGAGAGGCACTCACAGCTCCAGGTGCATCATTATCATCGATTGTACGTGCAAGTAGTGCTTTAGTGACCGCAAGGACCATTCATAGACGGCTCACAGAAAAGGGGGCTGAGGCCACGGCGCCACTTGCGCCGACTACCATTGACATCTGTACAACGTCAAGCCCGTTTGCAGTGGTGTCGAGCTCATTCGCACTGGAATGTCACTGACTGATGTAGAATATTCTTCAGTGATGAGTCTCTCTTTGAACTGAGCCCCGATGACTAGCGAAGGCGAGTCTGGAGACGCCCCGGACAGCGGTGTGATACCAGCCTGACTGCCTTCCGGCAGACAAGCCGACAACCAGTAGTGATGGTCTGGGGTGCCATTTCATTTCATAGTAGGACCCCTTTGGCTATCATCCATCGTAACCTTACAGCACAGCGGTACGTCGACGAAGTTCTAAGGCCCGTTGTGTTGCCCTTCATGTCACGCCACCCTAGGTTTACATTTCAGCAAGATAATGCCCGCCCCCACACTGCACATGTTTCTACTGCTTGCCTTAGTGCTTGCCGAAGATTACCTTGGCCAGCAAGGTTGCCGGATCTCTCTCCTATTGAGATCGTTTGGAGCATTATGGACAGGGCCCTCCAACCAGCTCGGGATGTTGACGATCTAACGCGCCAGTTGGACAGAATTTAGCACGATATCCCTCAGGACATCCGCAGCTTCTATCAGTCGATGCCAAGCTGAATAACTGTTTGCATAAGGGCCAGAGGTGGACAAAACGCGTTACTAACGTTTTCGCTTTGTGAAGTTCTATCACTTCAATAAGTCATCCAACTTTTCTCAAACTGTAATCATTTGTTTTTCTGTACATGTACATCACTTCTACCGACTTTTGTTCCATTCGGTGAACTCCTTGGTGCGTCTTTTTTTTTTTTTTTTTTTCCGTCTAAGAGTGCATTATTTTTCAATACTAGGACATTTATTAAAAGAAACCTTTGTAGCTTTAATCATCATATGATTTTAAAAAATTTAAACTGATACTTTATTTATATCTCTCAAGTCTTCCTGAGGCCTCGATTACCGTCAAGCCTTGAAATAGAACTGTCAGTTTTAAGACTCTCTAAAATCCAACCTTTAACTGTATAACTAAACACTTTTTCAAAGATTAAAACATAATAATTATTGACAATATACACTTAACCGATTGAAAACTATTTACGTATAGAAATACTAAGATCTAGAAAAATGAGATATTTTAGTCTACCCTTACACCAATAAGGAAGTAGGTGTCAGGCGGCTCTGGAACAATAAAGCCCGAAGCTGTGTTGATCTGCCCAGCTAAATCTTCGGACAATTATTATTATCATAAAGGGTTTAGTGATTATCTTTTATAATAGTTGTAAGGTTTATTTCCATTTTTTGTTACATTAAAATCTGTCTTGCAATTTTACTGCTTCGTCTGCTCAACTTGAATACGTAAATAAAATAAGTTTTAAACAGGAGCGAGAAATAAATTTGAGAGAAAAGTTTGACAACGCCAGCCCTGCCTTGGTGAGGCTCCTCTGTAATTTTCTGTCGTTACCACTGATAGTAATATCAGCCGGTGAGTTTTTTTTTTTTTTTCCTCTCATTGCAAGTTACGTTTAATATTCTTGAAGAAGCACAGCCAAGTTGCTGGGATTTAAATCTAGAATTTGCTCTTGTGGTGTAGTGGCCGAAACCGCTATGCAAACCCTGGGTTGTGACATCAGGTTGAAAACAAAACACAGCATAAAAAAATTTTATTGAACGCAAAAAAAAAAAAACAGCGACATACAAATCGAACCAAAAGAAAAACTTATATTTTTTTCGTTAAATCAATTCATTTTTTACATTCAATCGTTCGTGCGAGAGCCATACGTGGCTCTCGAGCCAGAGTTTGAAAAACAGTTGCCAACAATTTAATATTAATTTAATAACAATATTTTTAAACTTTAATACAATTTTAATAATTAATATTAAGCTGTTACAGGACTTGTATATTTTTACTCTCGTGATTTCATCACGTATATTGCACTCTGAATTTGCAATTTAAAATCATTCGTCGTAGATTTATGCGACCTTATCACACTCTGTACAGACTTGGAATCATTGCTTCTGTGCAGCAGAAACTAGCTGAAGTAAATTTCGTGTGTGTGTGCGTGATTATGGCAAAGCTTCGAGGGCTATCTGCCTAAGGGGAGGGATGCCTTGGTGGAGGACTTTCTAAGGGAAACTGGCTCGTATACACGTTACACATGGGGAAAACCACGAAAACGCCCATGCAGCCAGCCCGTTCGCGGGATTCGAACCTCGGACGGAACTACCAGTGTTCGGCGACTTTACCGCTCGGCCACTGGTGGGCCTGGATGCAAATTTTGTTTAATTCTCCTAGTTTTGTACCTTCGAATAGAAGTTGAAATAAATCCTTACTTGTTTTACATTGTTGCATTAACTTAGTGTTCTAGTACTGGATGATAAAGATGGATCGGAAATTCGCCTAGTAATTTAGAAAGTTAGACTAGACGTCAGATTAACCCTGGAATGCCACACTTACTTTCTTGACCATAAATGCTACTCTGGGATATAGCAGTACCCTAAAACAAAAAATTCAAAATAATTGTTTTTGAATTTTTTTATTCGAAATAAACAGGTATAAAACTGAAAACACAATTTTAAAAATAGAATTATTTCTGTTCTTTATTTCTTATTTTAATTGAGACACAATTTGGGCAAACTTTTTCTGATGCTCTAGACAAATGAAGCTATTACAGATGGCAATCTGATCTTTTGTTTTCTGTCTCGTTGTTAGGGGCAAAAATACATCTTCCAGCGACCTTTTGAGAACATATTGACATTTACCTCACCTTATTCTCAAACACCGGCGTATTCTTACACTCACGGTAGACGACACGAAGATATGAAATTCATGAGTGTGGTGCCTTGGCAAGTCGCAATCATCGAGCCGTTATGAGGTGTGAGAGCAATAACTTGCTCCTTATTGCCGTCACTTGATATTATAAGGGCCATTACTTCACGGCAAGTGATAGGGGATTTTAGCGAGCTCCAGTGAATTTGTCATCAAAGCTTCTCAAATTCAGGAAGCGGACCGGCCAGTGATCGTGTAGCTCCCTGATACCTCCTCGACTATAACGAATCTGACAACGTGAAACACAATCTAAAACTAAAAAGGACTTGATTAATTCAACCTACAAAATGTTCCAGATAAAGCAAGTACCCAGAATGCTCTGAAACTCTCGACTAGAGGGAAATTTGCTGCTCCCCATTACGTGAGGATCTTGCTGCTAGGAAGATCCTCACGAAATAAGCACAATAATTTACCATATAAGTAACCACATCTATGCATTCAATGTTAATTCTCAGTTGTCCTTATTATATTGTTAATAGTGCTTCTCGCATATTTGTGGTAAATGTGTTTTTAGTTTAATATTCAGTTTAAACACAAACTAAACTAAACGCAACCAGTAGCAGTTATTGCAATGGAGTCGCCCCACTAGCGCACCAGCGCCCCTACACTCATTGCAGTTGACGTGATTATTCACTTACACAATTTTAATTTCTTGAATTGTGTGAACTGCGAGGCATTTTAATTAGACATCGAAAAAAGGCATCCTTGATAAGAATTGTTAAGCCGGGTAGAAAATTATTTCGGCTTGAATTTCTGCCATTATTTCCTCTAATTTTAAGACATTTTCTAAGATTTCGTGAATGCCAGATTTTTCTGCGATTGCGGATAAATCTTAGAGTTTTGGAATTTCTTCATCAATTTTTGATTTCTATTACATCTTTTAGTTTTTTTTATACTTTTAATAATTTTATACTACTTTCTGTTAGGATTTCATTAAATACTCTTCAGAGTAATTTGTTCCGGATTCCATTCAGAATTCTGAACTTAGAATTAGTCTAAGTTTTACTGGACTTGTTGAATACTAGAAAATGCCATTTCTCAAGTTACAAGCAATTCAGGGGAGAAGATCCTTAAAAATTTAATTTATTTAATCTATTGAAGGAATTATATTTTATTTGTTTTTTATTTTTATAAATAAGATTAAAAGATACATAATATATGTACAATTTTAACTATTTATTTATGTTGAATGAATAGTTATATTTTATGTTCTTCATTTTTGTGTTAATAAATATCTTTAAATGACGCATAATTAATATATAATAAAACTCAAGTCTGAATGTTTTCCTCTGTTCCATAATTCTGCATGTATTGCCGCAGTAATCGAATTGTTTTGAAATACGTATTTCCTACTGCGCGGCATCCTGAATCATACTGACAGACTTATTTGGCACACCACAGCTACAAGGTCGCCGAACCCTGCCGTACACATAGTTTTCGGTCCGAAAATTCGGTGTTGGACTTTTAGTAAATAAGCAATGATTAGGGTCTCCACAATAGGGTTTTTACTATTTTTGCAGTGATGGTTGACTGTCTATGTGATTTTTTCGGCCACGATTACTCTAACATAAAACTTCCAAAACAAATACATTTCTCATATTCAAGCTTTCTACAT